GCGAATGGTCTGGCAACACTGCGACAATTGCCAGAGGCAAACGGCAACAGATGTAAACAGGAGAGCTATACAAAGTGAGCGGATGTGACCTGTTGAGGTGATTGCTTTACGTTATCACGATGAGTTCTCTATGGGTGTTGGTATGAAAAGCATTGCCTTTATGTCATACAAAACCCAAAGAAATTGTGAACATCTTGTAAATACGATGAGAGAGTTTCCTGTTACTCCCTTTGGGCTTTAGACAGGGAAGGCGTCTAGTCAAACCTCCACAAATTCTGACCTTTCTCAGCACAGCAAGATCTTTCCTGGCCTTACTTTGCCAAGGGTTCAACCCCACACAACCGAAATAAAAACTCAACTTAGCCGAGACCTATAATCCGAACAGCTTAATCAAGCCTAAACTAAACTTAATATTCAACTTATCATACCAGATATACAATATAATCTTTCCAGTGTACCCAAGGGGATTGAATGTTGTGGTTTTATTAATGTATAATAAATGCCATGTGACCTTTAGTGTCTTATTTTTGAAGTTTTTTTTTTTCTTGGTTTGTGAGGAAAGAAAATCATAGATGTGAAGTTTCTAATTTCATCGGTCAATATGTAGTATAAGGTAGTGGCAGAGTTGGGTAATAAAACCTACATGATATGATAGAACAATACAAACCAAGTCAAAGTTCTTCTATGGCAATATGTGTGCAAATGCTTCCCAAGGGTGCTAAGCATATATATTACCATGGGGGTCCAGGGGGCAGATGCCCCCTCGCTAGGGAATATATACCACGATGTTAGGTTAGGTTGGATGTTGGGTTAAGATATTTTGTTTAACCACGGGGATCCTGTTTTACCCCATAATTTCCCTCATATACTTCATGCCCTCCCCTACCTTCTTCTACATATTGAGCGGGAGGGGATCTTCTCTTTTCTTTTATGTATAGCACCCTTGGGAAGCATTTGCACACATATTGCCATAGAACAACTTTGTCTTAGTTTGTATTGTTCTATCATTTCATGCCACTACCTTATACTACATATTGACCGCTGAAATTAGAACATTCACATCTATGATTTTCTTTCCTCACAAATCAAGAAAAAAAAACTTCAAAAATAAGATTATATATAATTCCAAACATTGCCAGTAATGGACAGAACAAAATACGAACACTTATCTAAGGTATTTCCTTTGCAAATTGATACCAAGAAATTTGTGCAACACATAATCTTTTGGATATATTCAAATGCTGTATTGAGAGTAGGTCCAGGGACAGAACCACCATTAGGGAAATAGGGAGATTGCGTGGGAATGGTTTGTTGTTCATACAGTGATAGTTACATTAGGAACCAGTTGAAGCTATATGTGAAAAATCATTGTGAGCCTCCGTGCTGTAGCCTCATTAAGCACAAAGAGAAGCACAGTTGCTCCCCCCACACATACCCTGTGGTTGAGTATATTATAAGAAAACCATACATTTTTCTTCTTTATCATACAGTAGGTCAAAATCTGCCAAGGAGCATATATACCAGTTATGGTAAAGATATAGAATATATTATTGGTGTCAAGTACTACAAGATAGGTACTATTCATATATTTGATACAGTACATAGAAACCCCCAATCTTCACAGACTGTGAAGTAGGGGAGGGCAGAAGTATAAGAGAAATTGCAAGTTAAAATATAAAGGAAGTGACTAATAAAATTGAAAATAAAGATGGATATTTCATAATTCTTGATTATAATTGTTCTTATTTCAAGTTCTGTTTGAAGAATAGCATGTATTAAGCACAAACCTTCCTTCATCCCATTTCATCTATTGCTGTTTTCTATTAAGTAAAGGTCATTGAATAGCTGATTAGGGTAATGAGATCCTTTACCAAGGATTTAGAATATCATCTTCATTAGGTGAGTATATTGTAATTCTTAATATACAATGAGTTCAATATGAAAAAGCTTGATCACATAATGCAGGATGGTGCTACCATTCCTTAGGCAAACAAGTTTTAAAGTCATTTATAGAAGTTGCATTGATTGTTGCCTGACTCGGGTTATACCCAAGCTTCAAAGATCTGCTACCTGACTCCTAAGTGATGTTGGACCTGTAGCTTCTGGGCATGTCTTCTTGTAGTTGTGCCGAGAGAGGGCTGGAACATAGTGTTGCCATTAGCGCTATACTTGTAGGTCTGGAGTAGAGCTGAGTTTTGGTTCTGAAATTTATGATATGCCAGGTGATCTGGGTAAGATAGATGGGAGATCCCTTGAACAAGTTTTACATAGAAATCTAGTTTTCTTTTTTTTTCGTAATTTTTGTGCATAAAAGATGATATGTAATCTTATCTTTTTGATCTTTCAGAATAATTAAAAGTAGAAATCAAGCCATGGCATATCTCAAGAAACCTGTCGATATGGTAAGCATTTTTTCCAGTTAATGTGAGAAAATTTATGATTAGTGATAGTAAGAATTTGTTTGTACTTGATGAATTGCTTTTGTTTATGAAAAGAGACTAAAGAGACTAAGACATTTATGATATTTACATGTGAATAATGTCATGAAATTCAGGATCAGTTAATATTTATATGTACAAGAAATTTAAATGAAAAGTTATTTGGCTGCTATTTAGTGTTATTTACAAGTTACACAAAAATTGCTGTGTTCCGCCTTTATTATTCAGAAATATATTCTGTATGTAAACTATCAATAAAATTTCTGACTCTCCTATTTCTTCTGAATTATTAATCAGAGTTTAAATATCATGAAATGTTCAAAAGAAAACTACATAACTCATGAGGTTTGCTATTACCCTTTGTGACCCTATCCCTTGGTGCACAGTAATAATATGAATATAGCTTATAAAGTTTAAAAACTGATACCATGAAGTACACTGATTTTCAACTCTTCTTGTGTCATTCACTCTGTCCAGATTTGCTTCACAGTTTATCTCAGTATTCTCATATAGAAAAGAAAAAATATACTGGTTGAAACACAGAAAAAAGAAACCCCTTTATAATAAGAAAGAGGAAAAAAATTCTGGTTGAAAGACAGAAAAAGGAAATCCCCTTTATTCTTCACACTTTGCATGATATAATTTTTAATGAAAAATTAGAATATATATCTACTGTCTACTTAGTTTAAAAAGCTTTTGTTATTGAGATTAAACGGCTTTATCACTGAGAACTCTGTCGATTCACTAAGGCAACCAGTTACCTTATTTCAAAACTCGTACAACCACTAAGCATTTCATAGAGATTTGTTTTTTGGAAATCTCTTCCAAGTGAACAATCAGATCAATGCCCCCCTAATCCCTTGTTCGTTGTTTTGAGGGGGCTTATGAGACTGAGACTGGGGCCCATTGTAGGGGATCAGCCCTACCTTGGACTTCAGCCCTCACCTCAACTAATTTTGTATGGTCATTTCTTCTCCCCCTTTCCTTTTCCTTCTCTTCATCATTATCCTCTTCTTCTGTCCACTTCCTAAGGTGTGAAAGCCATGCTGAAAGAATGAAAGGCTGGCTTTGTGTTAGTCATGATTCATCCTTATTGTCCTTCTCCCATACCCCCATCATCTTCCTCCTTGTCCTTCTACTGCTTCCACCTCTGCAAACCTTTTAAGTTCCTTTTTTTGCCCATTTAAGTCGGCAAAGTTTCCGTTTGCAGTCTTTCTGATTATCCATGCCTTGTCACAATTACATCTGAATCCCAAGGTTGTTCACTATCTATCCTGACGGACTTCACTGGCAAACCTATTCCTGCACAACCTCACTGCTGCCTTAATGTTTGTACTGGAGCTGTTTGTGTCACTGTGTCTGATTGTCCTGTCAACAGCAATGACTGGTCAGACTGAAAACGACATGCTCACATGCTCTGTCGACTATGATGCTGTTGCTCCACAGACTACTGCCCTCTATGGGCCCAACCTGGTCATGACCATTCAAATTGCTATGCTCAGTCATGCACATGTGCTAATTGTGGTGGCTCCCAAGTATTTTATAGGAGCTTCTCTGCCTACAAGCTCGAATCTTAGATATTAATTCTTGGATTCAAACTAGGCCTCACTGTACATGATGCCAGACAAGAAGCACGCCAATAAGGATATTTTCTTCCTATCTATTCCAAAACTGTACCTTGCTCTGCTCCCCTCCTGTCTTCTCAAGAAGTCTCACCATCTCTCCCAATATCTTTCCTCTACCCTGAACCATCCTATCTCTACTCCCTCTCTCCCCCAGTCAGATTTCTTTTCCAGTCTAAATCCAGATACTCCAATCTCTACCACTTCCCCGGTGCCTAACCCTCTTCCCCACCATACCTGTTGCATCAGACAATCTAAATGTTCCACTCCATCTTCTCCATATCCTCTCCTACACCCACCTCTCCCTCTACTCCTTGGATATCTATTCCCTCTTCTCCTCCACATAAGAAAACCTTTGTTTCTCAGAACTCCCTCCCATCTCGCCTCCAGGAACTGTTAAAGACATCCAAAACTTCCTTAACCCAATGCCACCAGGGAAAATTAATAAAAGATGGGGAAAAAGCTGTGCTCATTTTTTATATTTTTGTGAAATGTCTCTGCACATAGATGGCTCTGCTAGTGCTTAGCCACAAAAGAGTCAATTAGTAGACCTTGTGACCTTACCAAATTTACCATTCCTTGAATTGGCAGAAAAAAACGTAGTTTTTACTAGTTCTGCGAATATCGATGGTGTTATTTTTACTATACATATTACTATAATGTTATAAACATAACTGACAGCAAAATAAGATAACGTAAAATATATACATAAATCAAGGAAAAGGGTAAACAGGTGAGGCAGGCAGTACTCGTAATTGGCTAAGTTTAGCAATACACACACACAGACACACACACATACACACACACAGACACACACACACACACACACACACACACACACACACACACACACACACACACACACACACACACACACACACACACACACACACACACACACATTGACACACACATTGACACACACATTGACACACACACA